AGTCAGGAGGCCCCTGGCATGGCCGGTGAGGCTGGGGCGGCCACAGCCCCAGGGGAGCCCCATCTGTGCTGCAGCGGGAGCAGGAGCTGGGGGCAGAAGCAGGAGCGTAAGAGAGAGGACCGAGGGGCTTCAGGCACCACAGACAGATGGGGAAGGAGTCCCCTTGGGCCTGGACAGAAGGAGCCACAGCCAGCACTGCCTTGGGCAAGGCACAGAACCTGTGCTTATCACCACTGGGACACAGCCAGTGGCCCCCAGGGGTTCTTCTCCAAGGGAGCCCCACCAAGATAGACATCCCTCACCACACCCAGCAGAGCTGCAGAAAGTTTAAGGCTACGCCCAACTTCCCCAGCCTGTGCTCAGTTCCTGGCTGCAGTAACCCTCTGGGAGTAGTTCTGCCCCTGGGGCAATAGGGGCAAGTGTCTGGGGAGCTCTGCAGGGCTGGCATCACCATCCCATCACAGGTGGGTGCCCAGCCCAAGGCCTTCAGCCAGCATGAGGGGCTTGTCCCCACCGGGGCCTCTCCAAACCACCGGGGAAAGCCTCTCTCTAGGCTCATTCATCTCCATGATTTATTTTATTTATTTATTTATTTATTATTTTTTATTTTTATTTTATTTATTTATTTTTTTTATTTATTTGTCTCCACGATTTATTTATTTTATTGCGACAGGCAATAAAAGTGATTTTTTAAAAAAAAAACTCTATAAAGAGCAAATGTAGGATGAGACAAAGCATTGGTCTGTTACTTGATGGGGATGATCGTATAGGGTCTTTAGTGATATGTGAAAAAAAGTATCAGCAAAGCTGCTGCCTTGGATTCTGGGAGAGCAGACTTGAGCCTGACCTGGAACTTAGGTGGAAGAAAAAAGCTTAGGAACTTTGGAAACAAGGTTGGGCCACTCAGGAGGGCTTCAGAGATGCTGTTTATCATGGTAGGGCAAAAAATTGTGCAGCCAAATCTCAACTGGAGTTGAAGCTGGCTAGTACTGTGGGTGATAACAACAACAACAAAGGCTTTGAAAATATGTTAACAATAAGTTATAGGCTTCTGGATGAGTTCCTAGCTGATGCTGAACTTGTTGGGGATTTGCTGCTGCATCTTCATGCACATAAGTCTGGCGCCCGATGGGATTCATCCCAGGATACTGAAAGAGCTGACTGATGTTACTGCGAGGCCTCTTTTTGTTGTTTATCAACAGTCTTGGGAATCTGGAAAGGTCCCAGTTGACTGGAAGCTGGCAAATGTTGTCCCATTTACAAGAAGGCAGGACAGAAGACCCTGGTAATTTCAGGCCTGTCAGTCTCACCACAATGCCTGGTAAAATTATGGAGATAATTCTAGCAGTTACTGAAAACCACTTGAAAGTGCAGTCATCAGTCAGAACAAACATGGGTTCATGAACTAAGGCTGGGAGAGCTGAGGATGTTCAGCCTGGAGAAGAAAAGGCTCTGGGGAGACCTCATTGTGACCTTTCAATACTTAAAGGGGTCATACAAAATGATGGAGAAGGACTCTTTACTCGCATAAATAATGGTAGGACAAGGGGGGAATAGTATTAAACTAAAAGAGGATGGATTTAGAATAGACATTAGGAGGAAATTCTTCACTGTAAGGGTGGTGAGGCACTGGAATAGATTGCCAGGAGAAGCTGGGGATGCCCCATCCCTGGAGGTGTTTAAGGCCAGGCTAGATGGGGCCTTGGCCAACCTGATCTAGTGGGTGGCATCCCTGCCTATGGCAGGGGCATTGGAGTTAGATGATCTTTAAGGTCCCTTCCAACCTAATCCTTTCTGTGAAGGGAAATTCATGCCTTGACAGCTTGAAGTCCTGCCCCTGGAAGAACAACCCCAGGCAACAGAACGTGCTTGAGGCACCCAGCTGGGAAGCAGCTCTTCAGAAAAGGCCCTGGGGGTCCTGGTGGACACCAAGTGGAACAGGAGCCAGCAATGTGCCCTTGCCACAGAGAAGGCTATCAGCATCCTGGGTGGCATTAGGCAAAACATTGCCAGCAAGCCAATGGACATGATCCTTCCCTGCTGCTCAGCACTGGTGAGGCTGCAGCTGGGGTACTGGGCCCAGTGCTGGGCTCCCTCGTCCAAGAGAGACCTGACCACACTGGGGAGAGTCAAGGAAGGTCCTGAAGATGCTGCAGGGACTGGAGCATCTCCCCTGAGAGGAGAGGCTGAGGGAGCTGGGCCTGCTCAGTCTGGAGCAGAGGAGGCTCAGAGGGAACCCATCAGGGCCCACAAATCCCCGAAAGGAGTGTGCAGAGAGGACAGGGCCAGGCTCTTCTCAGAGGTGCCAGGACAAGAGGCAATGGGCACAAACTGGAGCACAAGAGGCTCTGTCTGAACATCAGGAAGTGCTTTACAGAGCACTGGTATCAGTTGCCTGGAGAGTTTTGGAGTCTCCCTCCCTGTACATCACCAAAGGCTATCTGCATATGGTTCTGGACAACGTGCTCTGCATGTCCCTGTGTGAGCAGTGGGGTTGGACCCAATGGACCCAGAGATGCCTTCCGACCACAACCATTCTGTGATTATGTAATGTCCTTTTATGACGATCAAGTCGATTCCCTTGAGGGTAGAAAGGCCTTGCAGAGAGATGTTGATGGATGAGAGCACGGGACAATTGCCAATAAAATTGGAGTATGAAATTTAACAAGAGTAAATGCTGGATTCTGCACCTGGAGTGGTGTAATCCTGGGTGCATGTCTGGCAGCTGGAGTGAGAGTGGAAAGAGATCCAGGGTTGATGGTAAGCTAAATGTGAGCCGACAGTGTGCCCTAGTGGCCAAAAGGGCCAACTGTATCCTGACTGCATCGAGACAAGAGAAAGGATTGACCCGCTTTACAAAGCACTGGTGTGGCCGCATCTGGAATTCTGTGTGCAGCTTTGAGCAGCACAGTATAAGGAGGACATCAAATAGCAGAAAGTGTGCGAAGAAGGGCAAAGGAGAGCGGTGAAATGACTGCAAGGCAAGGCGTGTGAGGAGCGGGTGAAGGCGCTTGGCTTGTTGAGCCCAGAGCAGAGGAGACGCAGGGGAGGCCTCGCGGTGACCCACAGTTCTTGGTGAGGGGAGTGGAAGGGCAGCTGCCGGTCTTTGCTCTCTTGGGCCAGCGACAGGGCCCAAGGGAACGGCGTGGAGCTGCCACAGGGGAGGCTCAGGCCGGCTGTTCGGAAAAATTTCTTCCCCAAGAGGGTGGTCGGGCACTGAAACAGGTTCCCCGGAGACGTGGCCATGGCCCTGAGCCTGCTGCAGCTCAAGGAGCATTTGGAGAAGGCTCTTAGGCGCAGGGTCCGATTTTTGGGTGGTCCTGTGTGGAGCCAGGAGATGGACTGGATGGTCCCGGTAGGTCCCTTCGAACTGGGGCTATTCTGCGACTCCAGCCTCCCGCGGGGGGACAAGCCGGGGTCGAAGCCGGGGAGAGACGCTGTATCTGGAAGGGGGCCCGGGGCACCGCCCGCAGTGCTTTCGCTTTCGCTTTCCGCTTCTCGGAACCCGCCGGGACCGGGATCTGCCCAGCGCCCGGTGACGTCAGCAGAGATTCTAAGTCGCTATTGGCGGGTTGGCGGCGGCGGCATCAATTGCTGCGCGGGGCTCAGAGCGGAGCGGGGCAATGGGGCCGGGGCGGGTGGGGGGCTTGGGGCTGCTGCCGGGTCTGCGGCTCCCCAGGGAGGGGAATGGAAACAGGTCCCTGCTCAGTGCTGCGCGTCAGCGAGCCCCCTTCTTACCCCCCCCCCCCCCTTCTGTGTCACCTCCCCAGGTGCCCTTACACAATAGGTTTGAGGCTCTAGAGCTTGAAGGACAGGTAGGTGAGGATGTGGGGGGAAGGTCCACACAGGAGGTTATCAAGGGCAAGGACTGCGTGCCTCAAGACTGCCTCCACCAAGAAGGAAAGAACGAGGACCTCACGCGGATCGCCTGCAGCCAGGGCTCCTGGCAGGGAGGCAGACAGAGCCAACCCCTAAACCCTCCCCAATTACGTGACGCAGAGCCATTTGGTCTGAGGGGCTCCTGGGAGTCTCTGAGGGAGATGGATAGCAGGTGTCAGCCTGCCCCTACTGAGGCCCAGCAGCCCCCTCCTAAGTCCCTGCAAGGAGTAGTAGCTGATCCAGCTGCCCACCTGCAGGACAGAGGACTTGACCACCAACGAGAAAAGGGGATGGACCCTCGTCTCAGCTCAAAGCAGAAGGAGGCATCTGCCCCCATCACCCACAGTGCCACCAACCCCTCCAGTGTTCCTGGGTAATGGATTAAAGGCTCACGGGCAGGAAGGGGATGAGGGTCTGCACAGGAGTCGGAACCCGGGCCCCGAGAAGCATGTCAAGGTCAAGGGAAGTACCAAGCATAGGGAGCGGTGCCGGATGGGGCGCTGCATCCAAACCAGTGCCACAAAAAAAGGGCAGTCAAAAAAAAAAAAAAAAAAAAAAAAAAAAGCAAGGTCAAAGGATCTGCACAGGAGACCAAGTGATGGGGGAGTCAAATGGCAGGATGGATGTCACCACGCCACTATGGATGTGGCCAATAAGGTGACAGCTATGTTCCCACCAGCCACCCAGAATACAAGGTTTTTGGGGTGTTGTGGGTTTCTGAAGAACATGCGTTCCAGGCTATAGTCAGCTTATGAGCCCTCTCTATTGAGTAACCCAAAGGAATAACTATTTTGAGCAGAGCTTTGAGCAACCAGTCTGAATCCCTGAAATCCTGCCTCAGTCACAAACCAGTAGCTACCAGTGCTCCCAATACAGCCCCCAGACCCACTCATGATCCCTAAGACCCTTCCCAGTGCCCTAGAACACACACCAGTGCTCCAGTATGCCCCCTTCCTCCCTGCCCCCAAAACACTGCCTGGCTTACTGGGGCACACACCAGTGACCACCAGCCCCTTCCCAATGTGTGCCACTGGGGGGGTGGCACCCCTAGGACCCAGTACCCATGACTGTGCTCCCTTCCCCCCCCCCCCCCCCCCGCAGAGTCCCCAGCACATCCCAGGTACAAACACAAAGATTTATTAACGCTCTGTGTCACATGGCCGTCCCTGCCGGCCGCCAACCTTGATGGCACCCGGTGGCACCCGGTGATACCCCAGTTCATCCAGTGGCTGCCCTGGTCATGGCCATGCAGCAGGGACACTGCAGCATTGTCTGGCTTGGTGCCCATGTCTCATGGTCCCTTGTCACTGCTCCTTGGGTCCCCATCTCTGCCCTTGGTGTCCCCGTCCTAGCTCCTGGTGTCTCCATCCCAAGGGGTAGTAGTGTCCCCACCTATACCTCTGCCCTTGGTGTCCCCATCCCTGGCCCTCATGTCACCATCCCAGCTCTCAGTGTCACCATCCTGGCTCCCAGTGTCCCCATCCCAGCTCCTCGTGTCTCCATCCCCTGATGTCTCCATCCTGGCTTGTACCGTCCCCATCCCTGGCTCCTGCTGTCCCTCATCCCCACTCCCTGTGCCCTTGTCCCCATCCCCCAATGTCCCCTGGCGTCCCCCATCCTGCAGCAGGTGCCAGTAGCGGCTGCCGGGGCGCAGCAGCTTGCTGGGGGGGCCCTGCTCGCATACCTGCCCTCCCTCCATCAGGGCCACCTGGTGTGCCCGTGCTGCCAGGGCCACCTGCCCTGTCACCAGCAGCACCGTGCGCCTGGTCCCGCTGTCCTCGAAGAGCTCCCGCTCCACCTGCGGCAGGAGATGCGGTCAGCGGAGATGCATGGGATGTCCCCAACCCCACTTCAGGACTGAGGGGACGCCGAGAGTGAGGACCCAGGAGGCATGAAGACTGGGGACCCAGGAGATGTGGAGATTAGGGACCCCAGGGGCTTTGGGAGCAAGGACCAAGGGGACTGCAGAAGGAACATGTGGGGACCCAGGAGATAGGGGAGCAGGGCACCAGGGGACACCAGGAGTGGGGACAAAGGGAACCCAGGGACCAGGGGACACGAGAAGTGGGGACAAAAAGGACCCAGGAGACACCAGGAGTGGGGACAAAGGGAACACAGAAACCAGGGACAACGGGACAGTGGGAATGGAAACCCAAAGGGATGCCCGGGGACAGGAGTGCTGTTAGGAATGGGGACTGAGGGGACATAGGGACGCGCCCCACCTGCTGCTGGCACTCAGCGTCCAGGGCACTGGTGGGCTCATCAAGGACAAGGATGTGAGGGTCCCGCACCAGGGCACGGGCGATGGCCACCCCTTGCCGCTGTCCCCCGGAGAGCTGTCCCCCAAGCTCACCCACCTCTGCAGGGACAGAGGGGTCAGGGGAGAGGACATGGGGACCCTGGATGGGACAGGGATAGGGGGGAAACACTCTACCTGTGTCATAGCCTCGGGGCAGGCGGGTGATGAAGTTGTGGGCACCCACCCGGCGGGCTGCCGCTGTCACCTGTGCCCGGCTCCAGCTCTCTGGCCCATAGGCGATGTTGGCGTGGAGTGAGCGGGCGAAGAGCACCGGCTCCTGGGGGACGGTGGCCACCTGCAATGGAGGGGACAGCCGGGGATGTGGTGGGAATGGGTGGTACCACAGCTGGTGACATGGGAGGGGTGGCCGGGGGCGGGGGGACACAATGGGGACAGCTGTGGACATGGTGGGGATAGCTGAGGATATGGCGGGGACGTGGCAATAACACAGTGGGGGAGATAGTGGGGATAGCAGGGGACAAGGTGGGGACCTGATGGGGGACACAGCAGGGAACTGATGGGGGACACAGCGGGAACATAGAGGGGACATGGTGGGGATGGCTAGGGACATGTCAGGAACATCTGGGGACATAATGGGAATGAGTGGCAACATAGCAGGGATGGCTGGTGATACAGTAGGGGTGGCCATAGAGGACATTATTGGGACAGCCGGGGACATGGGGGGGTGGCTGGGGACGTGGCAGGGTCATCGGGGGACACAGTGGGGGTGGGCAGGGACATCTGGGGACATGGCTGGGGACCAAGTGGCGAGAGGAAGGGGTGCGGGGGGACAGCCAGTGACCCCAGGAGGGATTGCTGGGGGAGGCACGAAGACGTCCTCTGGTGACCCCACGGGGACAACTGGGGCCACAGAAGAGGACAAAGTCTGGGGACAGGGCGCAGGAAAGCAACTCACCCGGTGGCACAGGTAGGAGTGGCGGTAGGCGCTGAGGGGATGGCCGTCCAAGAGCAGGCGCCCGGCCGTGGGCTGGTGCAGGCGCAGCAGCAGGGACACCAGGGTGCTCTTCCCCGCGCCCGGGGGCCCCATCAGTGCCAGCACCTCCCCGGGGCGCAGCTCCAGGGACACACCCTGGGGGGACGTGGCCATTTGCACCTCCATGACCCCATGTCCCCACACCCTCCCTGCTGTGTCCCACTTGCCCCATCCCCTCCCTGTGTCCCCCTGCCGCCCTCCCTGCCACATCTGTGGTGGCAATGCCAAGTCCCTGCCGTGGCCCTGTGTACCCTGTCCCCATGCCCTCCCTGACACGTCCTTGTGTCCCTCTGCCATGTCCCCACACTGTCCTATGTGTCCCTATGCCACATCCCCACCATGTCCCTGTGTCCCCTTGCCACATTCCCACACCCTCCCCCACCATGTCCCCATGCCATGTCACTTTGTGTCCCCCTACCATGTCACCACGCCTGCCACACTCTCCCATTATGTCCCTGTGTCCCCCTACCGTGTCCCCTCACGCCACACTCTCCCATCATGTCCCTATGTCTCCTTTGCTGTGTCCCCACACCTGCCACACTCTCCCATCATGTCCCTGTGTCCCCCTGCTGTGTCCCCACGCCTGCCATGCTCTGCCATCACGTCTGTGTCCCCCTGCTGTGTCCCCATGTCCACCTTGAGGACAGGCTCCTGGCGCCCAGGGTAGGAGAACCAGACGTCCTCAAGCTGGAGGTGGCCCCGCAGGTCACTGGGTGCTAGTGTCCCCGAGGGTGCGACCTGTGGCTCCCGGTCCAGGAACTCAAAGATCTTCTCCGAGGAGCCCACAGCCTTCGTCAGCGTGGGGTAGTAGCGGAGCAGGACCTGGGGACAGCACAGGGATGTGAGTGACAGTGTTTGGGGTTGGAGGGAATGGGTATGGGGACATGGCCAGGAGGGCATGGGGATGTGGAGGACACAGGAGCTCAGAGGATGCAGGGACACAGGGGGACTGGCATGGGGATGTGACAGGGGACATAGTGGGTGATATGGGGACATGGTGGGGAGGGCACAGGGACACAGCAGGGGGTCACAGAGGGACAGAAATGGGGACACAGGGAGGGCCTGGGGACACGGGTGGGCATGGGGACACAGGAGGACTGGCTGTGGGACATAGCAGGGAGGACATGGGGACAAAGGCACCTGGGCTCACCTCCACGACATCAGTGAACTGCAACTGGTAGAGGAGGAAGGTGACGAGGTCCCCGGTACTGATGGTCCCCGCGGCCACCAGCTGTCCCCCGTAGTAGAGGATCCCCATCTTCAGGGCCAGCGCTGAGAACTGGGGACACCATGAGGAGTCACCCCCAGGGAACACCTCCCCACAGGGCCATGGCTAACTCTCTGCAGGGACACCGAGTTCCCAGCCCTGCTGTCACCTCCCTCATGTCATCAATGTCCCCCATGCCCTGGAGCCCCAGAACTGTCATGTTTCCCCATGCCATAGTGTCCCCCATGTCCTGGAGGTTCTGTGCTGTCCCATTCCCTGTGTTCACACCCTTGTGTCCTGCAGCCCCTGTGCTATCATGCTCACCATGTCCTAGTGTCCCCAGGCCATCATGTCCCCATGTCCCCTAGCCCTATACCGTCATATCTCTCAACTCCATCATCACATCCCCATGTCCCCCAGCCCCATGTCATATCCCTCAGACCCTTCTCATCGTGTCCCCATGTTCTGCAGTCGCCATGCCGTTGTGTCCCCATGTCCCACTACCCCTATACTATTGCATACCTGTGTTCCACCACCCCCACGCCATCCTGTCCCCCAACCCCCTGCCACTGTGCCACTGCATCCCGTACACCACTGGTCCAGGCAGAGACGGCGTAGAGGACTGCATCCTGCTTCTCCAGCTGGTGGGTCTTGTGCAGGCACTGGCGGTAGCGTGCGGCCACCCCGTCCTCGTTGGCGAAGCTGCGCACAGTGGCCATGGCCTGGAAGGTCTCCACTGCCACCCTCGCTGGCGTGGGCCAGCGCCTTCTGCACCTTTGGAGCCAGGCCCTGGGGACAGCAATGTCACCACAGGGCTGGCAGGTGGGGAATGGGGTACAGGGAGGGGGCAGAGGGCATATGGAGGAGATGGTGGACACGGGGAGGGGGCTGGAGGGACATGGTGGGCATAGTGGAGGGGACAGTGGGGACATGCAGAGGGTGTTGGGTGAATGGAGGGGACATTGGGCACGTGCAGGGGGCAGCAGGCACATGGAGAGGACAACACACATGTTGTGGGGACAACAGGCCCAGAGAGGGTGGGCACATGGAGGTGACAACGGGCACATAAAAGGGGGATTGCAGCGGATACACGGAGGTGACAGCGGGCCCACAGCCCCCTCTCACCTGCTGGAGCCTGCCGATGGCCCTGGGCAGCAACAGGAGGAAGGGCAGCACCAGGGCGGTGACGAGGGCCATGCGCGGGGACAGCCAGGCCATGGTGCTGAAGAGGCAGATGCCCCGCGCCAGGTACCACAGCAGCAGGCTCAGCGCCTCGCCCAGGGCCTCACGGGTGGCCTCCACGTCCCCCGTCACCCGTGCCGCCACATCCCCTGCAGGGGGACAAGGCGGAGGACGACAGCGGGGTTGAGCATCCCGGTGCCTGTCCCCACCCCGCCGCCGGGCCCGACCCTAAATCCCATGCTCACCGGCCCCCTCGTCCCGCAGCTCGGCGATGTCCCCGCGGAGGACGGCAGCGAAGAGGCGGTGCTGCAGGTGGCCGTGCACGCGGCTCAGCGTCCCCACGAAGGCGATGTCGCAGGCCAGCTCGGTGACGGCGCTGCGGTGGGAAGGGCACAAGGAGGGCGTGTGTGTGTGTGTGTGTGTGTGCATCAGGGAGACCCCCGTGCTGCTCCCCGACCAGCACGTCCCCCTCCCCAAAATACCTGCTCAGCCCCAGCAGCACCATGGGCCAGATGGCCGCCAGCTCGTCCTCGCGGGCCACCCAGTCGCTGGCGCGCCCCGTGTAGTAGGGGATGGCCATCTCCCCTGTCACCAAACCACGGTCAGGTTGATGGGGTCCCCCGGGGCAGTGGGGGTGGTAGGGGGGGTCCAGTGATGCCCCACAGATTTTGTGCAGCCCCCCCTCCCCAAGCTTAGTGTTGCTCCCCATTGGGGTGCTGCCCCCCTGGTTTGAACCTGACCCCCCTAAATTTCATGCACCCTCCCCCCAAAGCTCAGTGTTGCTCCCCATTGGGTTGCTCTCTCCCCCCACCATTCTGTGGCTGCCCCCACCCCGGATTTGTGCAGCCCCCCACCAAAGCTCAACGCTGCTCCCCATTGGGGTGCTGCCCCCCCTGGTTTGTGGCTGACCCCCCAACATTTCATGCAACCCTCTACATTTCATGCAACCCCCTACATTTCATGAAGCTCCCCCCAAATCTCAACGCTGCTCCTATACAGTGCTGCCCCCCCCCCCCACTTGCTGACCCTCCCCAGATTTTGTGCAGCCCCCCCAAAGCTCAATGCAACTCCCCATTGGGGTACAACTCCAATGCAGCCCCCTCCAAATATCAATGCTGCTCTGATAGGTGTGCTGCCCCTCCCCCGATTTATGGCTGGCCCCCCACATTTCATGCAGCCCCCCTAAAGTGGGTGTGCTGCCCCCCTCCCCTACCGAGCGACGAGGCCCCCATCAGCGCCGCCACCACCGCGCAGCGCCAGCGCTCGGGGCGCAGCGACTCCAGGAGGCGGCGGCCGGCGCCCATCGTCCCCGGTCAGTGCCCGCGACCCTCCCGGCCCCTCTCCGGTCCCGGAGCCGGTCCCGGTCCCGTTTCTCGGAAAATGAAACCCAGCGCCGGGACGGGATGGGCGCCGGCGCCGCCTGCCATTGGCTGATGCCTGCGGCGCGTCACCAGTTGTCGGGCAGATCGGGCCGGAGAAGCTTGCGGAGGGGCGGGGAGGGGGGCGTGGCGAGGGGCGGAGGGGGCGTGGCAAGGGGCGGATGGGGGCGTGGCGACGGGTGAAAGAGGCGTGGCGAGGCGGGAGTGGGGCGGGGCCGGGGAAGAAGGGCTGTGAAAATGAAAGTGAAAGGTGGCGGGGCCAGAGCATAGAGGGAGCGGCCGGGGCCGGGTGGGTCTGGGGGCCCCGGGGGGAGGCAGAGCAGGCTGGGGGGAGCCAGGAGGGGTGGTTGGACTCGGCCGGGCCAAGCCGAGCCGAGCCGAGCAGGTCTGGGGAGCACGGGGCTGGTGAGGGGGGGCTGGACTGGGAAGACTGGGAGAGCTGGTGTGTCCTCAGTGTGCCAGGGGTGGGTCTCAAAAAGGTGAAGGGGGCTGCGCTGGGGGTTACAGGTGTGTTCCTGAGAGGTCTGGGGATCCAGGACGAGACTAGGGGGCCATACTGGGTGTACTGGGTTATGTTCTAGGGTGCTGGGAAGGGTCTTTGGGGGTCCTGGTCAGGACTGGGGGATTTATTGGGAGCACTGGTGTCCCAGGGAGCTCAGCAGGGTCTCAGGGATAAGCCAGGAGCACTGGTGTGAGCCCCAGGGTGCTAGACAGGGTCAAGGGGAGCTGAGGAGTCTGCACTGGGAGCACTGGTGTTCCCTGCGGAGTGCCTCAGGGAGCCCAGCAGGGTCCACGTGACCAGCAGAGGGTCTGGGATTGCTGGGTAGGGCCTTGAATGCTCCTCAGAGCCCCCAAGCCATGGAGTTGCTGCCCACCTTGCGCCTGGCCTGTGTCCTGCTCCTGGCTGACCTGGTCGTGCTGGCAGCACTGGCCCGGTTGGCCCCGGCACTGGCACAGCTGGGTCTGGTGGCCACATGGCTGGAGGCTGGGCTGCGGCTACCAGTGCTGGTGGGAGCTGGGAGGCTGTTGGCCCCCGGAGGACCCCAGGGAGCCGCAGCCCTGGTGAGCCTGGCCCCTGCCACCTTCCTTACCCTGCGGGGCTGCCTGGAGCTGCCTGGGGCTCCACCAGTGCTGCTGGCCATGGCCACACCGTCCTGGCTGGCATTGGCCTATGGGGCAGTCTTGCTGGCCCTGCTCACCTGGACCTCCCTGGCACCTGGGGTGGCCCTGGGGACCAAGGAGGTCAAGTACCAGGCGGCCCTGCGCCGGCAGCTGGCCCTGGCCTGGCCTGAGTGGCCCTTCCTCAGCGGAGCCTTCTTCTGCCTCGTGCTGGCTGCATTGGGTGAGACCTCCGTGCCCTACTGCACTGGGAAGGCCTTAGATGTCCTCCGCCATGGGGACGGCCCCACTGCCTTTGCCACTGCCATCGGCTTTGTGTGCCTCGCCTCTGCCAGCAGGTAGGGACCCCCAGTTCCTCTCCCAGAGCCTGTCCACACCTGGGATGGTGCCTGATGGGTTTCAGGGTATCTCTGTCCCCCCATTCTGCCCAGTTCACTGTTTGCTGGCTGCCGTGGGAGCCTCTTCACCTTCATCATGGCTCGCCTCACCCTGCGCACCCGTGACCGGCTCTTCTCTGGCCTGGTACACCAGGATCTGGCCTTCTTCCAGCAGACCACAGCAGGTACAAAACGGGGGGTTCCCTGACCCTGTCCCCATGGTGTGTCCCCTACTGACCTTGTTCAACCCTTGCAGCTGATCTGGCCTCCCGGCTGGCCACTGATGTGCCACTGGCGAGCAGGGTGGTGCCATTCAGTGCCAACATCGCCCTGAGGAACCTGGGGAAGGTTCTGGGGCTCAGTGCCTTCATGCTGGCTCTCTCACCACGCCTGACCCTGCTGGCGCTGCTTGAGGTGCCCCTTGCCATTGCTGCGCACAAGGTCTACAATGCCCGGCACCAGGTGATGGTGGACATGGGACTGTAGGAACAGGAGTGCAGGGATGGTGATGGCTGGCTGGATGGGGACAGCAGGAAGAGGGTGGCAGGTTGGGGACAGCAAGAAATGGGCATGGTGGGGATGGGATGTGAGGTAGAGATGGCTGGGACAGGAGAGCAGGGTGAGGATAACAGGGATGGGACAGGAGATTTGGACCTGGGAATGACAGGGTCAGGAACGTGGGGATGAAGATTGTGGGAATGGTGACCATGGGGAGGGGATAACAGGCAAGAGGAGAGCAGGAATGGAGATGGGATGGAATGGTGAGGACTCAGCTGTGCCCATGGGTGCTGATGCCCACTGGCCCTACCCAGATGCTGCAGCAGGCCGTGCTGGATGCAACAGCTGGCACTGGGATGGTGGTGCAGGAGGCCATCTCCTCCATTGAGACAGTGCGGGCCTTCGCTGGGGAGGAGGAGGAAGAGCGCCGGTACGGCCAGGCACTGACCAAGATGCTGGGGCTGCGGGACCAGCGGGACATGGAGAAGGCAATCTTCCTCCTCATCCGGCGGGTGAGGCTGACATGGGGGGACCCAGGTGCCTATTGGCACAAGGACATCCCCACTCACCCCTGTCCCTGCAGGCACTGCAGCTGGCCGTGCAGGCACTGGTGTTGTACTGTGGCCACCAGCAGCTCCGTGAGGGGACCCTCACTGCTGGTGGCCTCGTCGCCTTCATCCTCTACCAGAATAATGCCGGCAGCAGTGTGCAGGTAAGGCCGGGCAGTGCATCCCCCATAGGCACATCCCCACGTCTGTCCCTGCCATGAGCACATTGCTGTGTCCCCATCCTTGGTGCCAGTAGCTCTGCCCCACACAGGCGCTGGCATACGCCTACAGCGACCTGCTGAGCAATGTGGCAGCTGCCCACAAGATCTTCGACTACCTGGACCGTGAGCCAGTTGTGGGCACTGGGGGCACCTCGGAGCCTGCCACACTGCAAGGCCACGTCACCTTCCAGCACGTCTCCTTTGCCTACCCCACGCGCCCCGAGCACCTTGTCCTGCAGGATGTCTCCTTCGAGCTGCGCCCCGGTGAGGTGACAGCACTGGCAGGGCTGAACGGCAGTGGGAAGAGCACCTGTGCCGGGCTGCTGCAGCGCTTCTATGAGCCCACGGCTGGGGAGGTGCTGCTGGATGGGGTGCCACTGCGTGATTACAAGCACCGGTACCTACACCGCCAGGTGAGTGTGGCTGCAGGAGGGTGTGTAGTACAAATGTGCTGAGCAGTGCCCGGACTCAGCCTCTGCCTCGGGGCAGGTGGCACTGGTGGGGCAGGAGCCCGTGCTCTTCTCTGGCTCCATCCGGGACAACATTGCCTATGGGCTGGAGGACTGCAGGGAGGAGGAGATCATAGCAGCTGCAGAGGCTGCTGGTGCCTTGGATTTTATCTCTGCACTGGACCAAGGCTTTGACACTGGTAAGTACTGGGGAGCAGGGGCAACTGGGTGTCTGTCCCAATCACCTTCCTCTCCCCATCCTGCAGATGTAGGGGAGAGAGGAGATCAGCTCTCGGCTGGGCAGAAGCAGCGTGTTGCCATTGCCCGGGCCTTGGTGCGATGCCCCACTGTCCTCATCCTCGACGAGGCCACCAGTGCTCTGGATGGGGATGGGGATGTGCCGGTGAGTGGTGGACTGTGCCTGGGAGAAGGGGTCCAGCTCCATGGCGGAGACTGATGGGCACCGGCATCTCCTGCAGCTGCAGCAGTGGGTGCAGAGTGGGGGGGACCGGACGGTGCTGCTCATCACCCACCACCCGCGGATGCTGGAGAAGGCCGACTGCGTCGTGGTGCTGGAGCATGGCACCGTGGCTGAGATGGGGACTCCTGCTGAGCTCTCGGCCTGTGGTGGGCCCTACAGCCGCCTGCTGCAGCGCTAATAACCCATGGAGCAGCTGAAAACCCCCAGGGATAGGGACAGGGAGCAGCAACCAGCTCCTGTCCTGGCTGCAGGATGGGAGGTGAGGGCTGCTCCTGTTGGTGCCAGGATTTGTATGGAATAAAGTGGAAACACTCCAGAGAGGAGTGAGCTGGATTGTGGCAGGATGGGGTGAGCTCTGCTTTATGTGAGTGAGGCCTTGCCTCGAGCATTGCATGCAGCTGTGGGCACCACAGCAGATGAAGAGTGTGAAACTGTGCGAGAGCCTCCAAGGGAGGGCTACGAGGACGGCGAAGGCTCTGCAGGGCAAGGCGTGTGAGGAGCGGCTGAAGGTGCTTGTCATCTTGAACCCATAGCAGAGGAGACACGGGAGGCATCGTGGTGGTCCACAGCTTCTTGATGAGGGGATTGGAGGGACAGGCACCAGTCTCTGCTCTCTGGGCCTGAGGGAATGGCACAGAGCTGCCACAGGGGAGGCTCAGGCCAGCTGTTCAGAAAAGGTTCTTGCCCAAGAGGGTGGTCAGGCACCCACAGAGGGGCTTCTGGGCCCAGTGCTGGGCTCCCTCGTCCAAGAGAGACCTGGCCACACTGGGGAGAGTCAGATGCTGCTGAAGATGCTGCAGGAACTGGAGCATCTCCTCTGGGAGGAGAGGCTGAGGGAGCTGGGCCTGCTCAGCCTGGAGCAGAGGAGGCTCAGGGGAGTCCATAAGGGCCGTGGAGTCTCCAGTAGAGGAGATACTGAGAAGTGCACTGGACTTGTCCAGGGCAACAGGCTTTCAGTGGTGCTGAACAGTGGTTTGGGGCAAGAGGACCTCAAGAGGTCCCATCCGACCCCAGCCCCTCTGGGATTCTTGTGACAAGTCCTGGCAAACAATGAATTCACCCAGGAGGAGGAGGCTCCTGCAGTACTGACATGTAGGCTCACTGTGCTGAGCTCTTTCTGCATGCAGCTCCCAGCCTCCATCGATGCCTCCCCAACTTCCCCATGCAGCTTCTCTGGGCAACCCTGACCCACCAGGCTGGGATAGCAGCACCTTGCACACCCTCTCCCACCCACCACTCCAGATCAGACACCAGGCACACTTTGTGGCGAATCAGCAAATCATTGGGCAGTTTATTTTGTTTGAAGGCCATGCAGATGCAATTATGCTGTGGCATTGCTCTTGTGGTAGCTGATTGGAGATGCGAGAGGTTGAGGGAATGAGGCTGCATCCAGCTGCAGCACAGAGTGCACAGGGGGCCTTCTGGTCCCTCACGGGCTGAAGCAGAGCGGTTAGACACTGGGGTTGCTCCCTGCAGGGACAAAACGAGACAGCGTGATATGGAACCACATCTTTATCCCAAACCTTCTACTCCGAGAGTTTCCCCAGGGAAGCCACGAATCAGTTGGGCACAGCAGCACCCTGACTGCAGGTACCAGAGGGGGACATGAAAAGCTGGAACACAAAACCTCCCTGGGGCTCCTGCCTGAAACCCCAGCCTCATACCTGCGTTCGAACTGTTGGATCCCCCATCGCTGCCTGCAAAAGAGAAGCAGCCATGAGAAACCAAGAGAAAGAGAAACCAAGAGCCCCAAGACTGCCCCAGTGATGGGCAGATGCTGGGGACATTGCTGCCTCCGTCACTCACCTGGTGTCAGATTGTAGCCCTTCTCCTTCTTCCCTGCAGACAGAACAAAGCATCAGCACCAGCCACTAGTCACGGCCAGGCTGGGGGCCTCCCAAAGGTGCCCCAGCTCCTCACAGAGCACCTCCAGCCCCTGCCTTCCTCCCACACCCCTCTGCCTCACCCGCCCAGGCACATTACCCTGCTTGCTCTTCCAGACAGCAAATCCAGCCAGGGCAGCAATGACAGCCACAACAGCAACAGACACCCCCGCCACGATAGGGATCAGGTTGGACTGTGGCTCTGAAGGAAATTAGGGCCATCAGCAGGAGAAGGGGGAGCCCCTGAATATAAGAGTCCCATGCATCTCTTGCTGCTGGGCTCACCCCATGAGAAGAGGCCGGGCTGGGGCAGGCTGGCATGCTCCACACGGCACTGGTACTTGTCCTTGTCCCCTGGCACGACATCGATGGTGGCCCAGATATGGTAGGTGCCGTCACTGTTGGGCACGGTGCTGCCCCTCTGGGTCTCCTGCTCCTGGACCATGCCATCCTTCAGCCAGCTGATCGAGATGGGTCGCGGGTAGAAGCCATGAGCACGGCAGGACAAGGACAGGATCTTGTCGGCCTCCATCCCGGACACTCGGACCTCTGGGCGCTCTGGGGAGGGGGTGGCAGCAATGGCCAGGCTGAGCTCCCTGCACTGGCCCTGCTCTGGCTTACAGCCTGGTGCTGCATCCCCCCTCACTCTCACCTCTCCTCTCCAGCACGTCCTTCCCATAGCTCACGTATTTCCTCAGCCACTCAATGCAGGTGTTCTCCAGGTAGTACTTCCTGCGCTCAGCAACAGTCCCATCCTCCTCCCACTTCCTCTTGGTGATTTGTGCTGCAGCGTCCGCTGCAGTGAACGTCCAAGTGTCTTTGTCCAAGGCAATGAATTCTCTTCCTTCGTAGCCATACTGGAAAAACCCGCTAATACTACGATCCTCGAGGAGGTCACAGCCAAACATGTGCTGCAATGTGTGAGAGCCTGAAACACAATGAGGGACAGGGGATGAGTGGCAGCCACAGTCCTGGCCCTTTAATGAACTGCAGACCCCACTGGCAGAGCGTGCAGGTGCCACACACTGCCCTGTCCCAGAGTTCTGCATCCCTGAAAGACTGGGCTGGGGCCCACAACAACAGAGTACTTTGGGGCAGCAAGGGCCTTATACGGGGTTGTCAATGCTGTGAGGTGACCAGGAGCTGAGATGGGGTGGGGGGAATCCCTCAGGGTTTGGGGTGAGGGCCTGAAGCACCATGGGAAAAGTAAGGGGCCGGGACAATGGGGGCTGGAGCTCCTCTAGGGGTCCTGACTGCTGTGGGGATGTGGAAGGGCTAGGAGGGGGTGGCCTAGAGCTCCCCAGCTCTGGGACAGGGGGTTCTGAACAGTGTGGGGGTGGCAAGGGGCTGGGTTGGGTCTGGAAGCACCCCTCTGGGTCTGGGACAAGGCACCAGGATCATCGTGGGGCTGGGACAGGGTGGCTGGGAGCCCCATGACAGCAACACCACACAGGGACCAAACAGCACGGCCAGGGCTGGGGCAGTAGCGTGGGGGCAGGGCCAGGCCTCAGTGGGGCTGGGGACACCCCCACCCCTCCCACAGCACCCACTCCCACAGCCTGCAGAGCTGTGGCCCAGCCTGTTCTCACCCCTGCTCTGGTTGTAGCGCTCCCGCAGCGTCTCCAGGTCCACACGGTAAATCTGCTCAGCACCCCGTAAATTCTCAGTCTCCCCGTTCCAGTACTGCTGATCCATGTTGTCTGCAATCCAGTCGACTCGGGGTTCCATCCTCCTGGTCTCACTGTCATAGCGCACGAAGACCTCCCCGTCCACGTACCCCACGGCCACAAACTGTGGCACCCCTGGGCTCGGATCCGACACCGCGGTGGCGAAATAGCGAAGGGAGTGGGGCTCTGTGGGAACAGGGGAGGCTGAGAGGGGCAGCCCCGAGGGGAGGCCGAGCCCGGAGGGGGCCGAGAGGGGAAGGGGAGGAGAGGGGAGGCCCGGGGGGTCCCGGTGCCGGGAGGGCCCGGCCCCACTCCCACTCCCACTCCCACTCCCACTCCCACTCCCACTCCCACTCCCACTCCCACTCCCACTCCCACTCCCACTCCCACTCACCGCTCGCTGCTCCGCCCAGGACCCCCAGCAGCAGCCCCAGGCCGAGGCCCAGGGCCCCCCGCCCGTCCCGGCCCCATGGCTCCGCTGTGCCCCGAGCTGCCTCCGGAGCTCGAAGGCATCTAACGGCTCCGGCCCCGCCCCGCGACGTGATTGGCGGCTCCCCCGCGCGTCTACCAATGAGTAATCGTTGTTCTCGTGACGTCACCGGGCGCCGGGTAGATCGCGGTCCCGCAGGTTGCCAGAAGCGAAAGCGAAAGCGCTGAGAGCGCCTCGGGGGGGAAGGGGAGATGGGGACCGGGAAATCCCGGCCACACCCGGTCTCTTCGCCCTCCCCCCTAAGCCCCCACATTTCTTGGCCCTGCCGTGGGCTGCAGTGGTGCTTGGGGACAGCAGGGGCCACCCACTCAGTAATGGGGCACCCAGGACATGTCCCTGTCAGGGCTGTCCCCAGGAGCGAGGGCAACTGGCATTGGGCAGGACCCCACTGGGGGCCATCTCCATCTCCACCTCCTGCCCTCCACCCACAGACCAGGCAGGGCAGGGTCACTCAGGGCCAGTTTTCCGTGGCCATGCCCATGAGGTTTTTGAATACTCCCAAAAATGCAGACCCACCAACCTGTGCCAGCATGTGGTTGCCTACACCATGAGAATTTTCTGGTGCTCAGATGGAGCCCCTGTGCTCCAGCACCTTCCTCACCTCTGTGACCCTCACTGGACTCTCTCCAGGTGTCTCTTGTGCTGGGGAGCCCAGCACTGGGCCCAGTGCCCCAGGGGTGGCCCTCACCAGCACTGAGCAGAAGTAAAGGATCACCTCCCTTGGCCTGCTCCAACACGGCTCCTGCTGCAGTCCAAGATACTGCTTGCTGTGCAGCCCAGGCAGGCTGTAAGGGTGTGTGGAAGGTGAGTGTGTGCTCCCTAGGGGAATCTGGCCAAGAACCTCCTTCACTGGGATGAGGGATAATAGAAAAAGAGTAAGCCATAAGTTAGACCTGAAGGGGACAGAAGCCTGACTGGGCAGCAGTGGTGAGAACCAAAGCTGGTCACTCACAGTGACAGGTGGGGGCATGGGAGAGCAAGAGTGTTTCTTCCTGCAAGGTTGCTTGGAGAACTCGTGCATTGGAAGACAATGGAAAAGGGGAAAAGCACGCAGAAACCAACCTCTAGCTGGACACAGACCTGACAGAACCAACATGGACACAGTGACAAGAAAAGGATGTCCTTGTCATACTCCATGTTGGCAAGCAAGCGAGCAGAGGCACAGCTTCCAGGAAGATCAGCCTGGACTTTGCAACTGATAAGATGTGAACCAGGAGCACCTTGGACTGGGAGTGGTGTGGGACTGGTGGGGGATGTGCAGGGCAGGGGAGCAGAAGGAACAAAGATCTACAGAGGCAGAAAAGGAAGGAAAGGGGCCAGCTGTGTGTGAAATAGGACCCATCAGTGCTTGTCTGGCTGAGCGCTGTGCCCAATCACCAGTCTATCCTGCCTTCTTGTAACTTCTCATTAAACATTTTCTTCAGTTTAGGGACTGGGGTGAGGGTGAGTGAGGCCAGTGCAGGGCTCAGTGCCAGCAGCTGGTGTAGGATGGTGAGTCACAGCCCATGGTCATGGTACTGGCTGCTGGGGTTGAGCTGTGTGTGTCTGTCCATGGGACCAGTGCTCAGCTTGGCTGCTGGCTGACCCTCAGAAAGTGGCAGCTGCTAACCTCAGCCTGAGCAGAAGTGCCAGGTCCCTGGGCACCCGGCTGGGCTCCAACATCTGGGCAGGATGGCACTTGGTGTTCCTGCCCGTCCTGGTCTGTACTGGTTCCAGTGACCAGGCAGGAGGGTTCTGGGCTGCAGCAGCTGGAGGAGATAGCCAGGCTCCTGCCATCCCTTAACTCACCCCAACCCAGCCCAGCCCAGCCCGTGGTGTCCAGCAACCAACTGATGTGGGTTGGAACAGGTAGAATAGTGTGTAAAGAACAGTAAAATTCGAGCATCTTTGGCAATTTTTATTGCTGAACTTCCATGTAAGATTCCAGGACTTGAAACCATGAAAAGCACCTTTGATGGTAATGGTTGATTCCTTGTCACAGGACGATGAGGATTTCAGGTGAGCATCAAGACAAGATCCTATGCTGTGACATTACAAAAGCAGCCCCACTGGGGTGGATTGTATTTTTTACAACTGCTTGTTATTCCCACCTGCACTGAGATTGCTGGTGCATTGTAATGCACCATGGGGCCAGTGTTGATGTGATGGGGTATTGATGCCAGTAACAATTTAAGTTTGTATTGTTTAACTTGTGTTGTGGTAAAAGCTGTAAAATCTGTGCTTCAAGGCAAGGCAAGATGATCCAGGCCTTGAGGATATCTAAGACGATTCATAAAAAAACTACTTGATCAGAAAGGCCATTTGGTAAGGAAACATCCAATACGTATACTACTGATGTGCTTACCATCAACTTTTTAGAAATACTTGGTTGACAAATAAAGGTATGAGTTTCTAATACTAATGAGGACTATCCTCATTAGAATAGTAAATTCATGCCCTTAGGCTGAGAGACCCCAGCCCAACAAGAG